AAAATAGTTACATGTGGAAATGTCCCAACAGTAATAATTAACAAAACGATAAAGGTTCCCAATTTTCAAAAAACACTTCGGCCCATGTGGGGATTGAACCCACGACCTTGGCGTTTTTAGCACCACGCTCTAACCAGCTGAGCTAACAGGCCCCAATGTGTAGCATTTAGGCTAATAGAAATTTTTTTTATGTCATCCGAAGATTTTAAACATTTCCCTAATTTAAGGAAAAACAGCCGTAACGGCCAAGGAAATTTAAATCAAAGCGAGAAATTCTAGTAGGAAGAAGTTATCCCAAAGGTTTCACTCAGAAGACAAAAAGTTTCCTTAAGATTCTAATAGAACTGAAAAATAAACATTTTCAACATTCTAAAAGAAATTGGTACTGAAATTACTTTGCCGAAACCCGGGATTGAACCAGGGACCTTTAGATCTTCAGTCTAACGCTCTCCCAACTGAGCTATTTCGGCCATATTTAAGTTGATTTTCTTGCTTGAAAATAGTTACATGTGGAAATGTCCCAACAGAAATAATTAACAAAACGATAAAGGTTCCCTATTTTCAAAAAACACTTTGGCCCATGTGGGGATCGAACCCACGACCTTGGCATTACTAGCACCACGCTCTAACCAGCTGAGCTAACAGGCCCCAATGTGTAGCATTTAGGCTAATAGAAATTTTTTTTATGTCATCCAATTTAACCCGAAGATTTTAAACATTTCCCTAATTTAAGGAAAAACAGCCGTAACGGCCAGGGAAATTTAAATCAAAGCGAGAAACTAGTAGGAAGAAGTTATCCCAAAGGTTTCACTCAGAAGACAAAAAGTTTCCTTAAGATTCTAATAGAACTGAAAAATAAACATTTTCAACATTCTAAAAGAAATTAGTACTGAAATTACTTTGCCGAAACCCGGGATTGAACCATGGACCTTTAGATCTTCAGTCTAACGCTCTCCCAACTGAGCTATTTCGGCGATATTAAAGTTGATTTTCTTGCTTGAAAATAATTACATGTAGAAATGTCCCAACAGAAATAATTAACAAAATGATAAAGTTTCCCTATTTTCAAAAAACACTGTGGCCCATGTGGGAATCGATCCCACGTCCTTGGCGTTATTAGCACCACGCTCTAACCAGCTGAGCTAACAGGCCCCAATGTGTAGCATTTAGGCTAATAGAATTTTTTTTATGTCATCCAATTTAACCCGAAGATTTTAAACATTTCCCTAATTTAAGGAAAAACAGCCGTAACGGCCAAGGAAATTTAAATCAAAGCGAGAAACTCTAGTAGGAAGAAGTTATCCCAAAGGTTTCACTCAGAAGACAAAAAGTTTCCTTAAGATTCTAATAGAACTGAAAAATAAACATTTTCAACATTCTAAAAGAAATTGGTAATGAAATTACTTTGCCGAAATCCAGGATTGAACTAGGGACCTTTAGATTTTCAGTCTAACACTCTCCCAACTGAGCTATTTCGGCCATATTGAAGTTGATTTTCTTGCCTCAAAATAGTGACATGTGGAAATGTCCCAACAGAAATAATTAACAAAACGATAAAGGTTCCCTATTTTCAAAAAACACTTTGGCCCATGTGGGGATCGAACCCACGACTTCGGCGTCATTAGCATCACACTCTAACCAGCTGAGCTAACAGGCCCCGAAGCCTAGCATTTAGGCTAATAAAAAAAAATATTTTTTTTGTCATCCAATTTAACCCGAAGAATTTAAACATTTCCCTAATTTAAGGAAAAACAGCCGTAGCGGCCAAGGAAACTTAAATCAAAGCGAGAAACTCTAGTAGAAAGAAGTTATCCCAAAGTTTTCACTCAGAAGACAAAAAGTTTCCTTAAGATTCTAATAGAACTGAAAAATAAACATTTTCAACATTCTAAAAGAAATTGGTACTGAAATTACTTTGCCGAAACCCGGGATTGAACCAGGGACCTTTAGATCTTCAGTCTAATGCTCTCCCAACTGAGCTATTTCAGACATATTTAAGTTGATTTTCTTGCCTGAAAATAGTTACATGTGGAAATGTCCCAACAGAAATAATTAACAAAACGATAAAGGTTCCCTATTTTCAAAAAACAATTTGGCCCCATGTGGGGATCGAACCCACGACCTTGGCGTTATTAGCACCACACTCTAACCAGCTGAGCTAACAGGCCCCAATGTGTAGCAATTAGGCTAATTTAAATTTTTTTTTATGTCATCCAATTTAACCCGAAGAATTTAAACATTTCCCTAATTTAAGGAAAAACAGCCGTAACGGCCAATTTAAATCAAAGCGAGAAACTCTAGTAGGAAGAAGTTATCCCAAAGGTTTCACTCAGAAGAAGAGAGTTTCCTTAAGATTCTAATAGAACTGAAAAATAAACATTTTTAACATTCTAAAAGAATTTGGTACTGAAATTAGTTTGCCGAAACCCAGGATCTTCAGTCTAATGCTCTCCCAACTGAGCTATTTCAGCCATATTTAAGTTGATTTTCTTGCCTGAAAATAGTTACATGTGGAAATGTCCCAACAGAAATAATTAACAAAACGATAAAGGTTCCCTATTTTCAAAAAACACTTTGGCCCATGTGGGGATCGATCCCACGACCTTGGCATTATTAGCACCACGCTCTAACCAGCTGAGCTAACAGGCCCCAATGTGTAACATTTAGGCTAATAGAAATTTTTTTTTATGTCATCCAATTTAACCCGAAGATTTTAAACATTTCCCTATTTTAAGGAAAAACAGCCGTAACGGCCAAGGAAATTTAAATCAAAGCGAGAAACTCTAGTAGGAAGAAGTTATCCCAAAGGTTTTACTCAGAAGACAAAAAGTTTCCTTAAGATTCTAATAGAACTGAAAAATAAACATTTTCAACATTCTAAAAGAAATTGGTACTGAAATTACTTTGCCGAAACCCGGGATTGAACCAGGGACCTTTAGATCTTCAGTCTAACGCTCTCCCAACTGAGCTATTTCGGCGATATTAAAGTTGATTTTCTTGCTTGAAAATAGTTACATATGGAAATGTCCCAACAGAAATAATTAACAAAATGATAAAGTTTCCCTATTTTCAAAAAACACTGTGGCCCATGTGGGAATCGATCCCACGACCTTGGCGTTATTAGCACCACGCTCTAACCAGCTGAGCTAACAGGCCCCAATGTGTAGCATTTAGGCTAATAGAAATTTTTTTTATGTCATCCAATTTAACCCGAAAAATTTTAACATTTCCCTAATTTAAGGAAAAACAGCCGTAACGGCCAAGGAAATTTAAATCAAAGCGAGAAACTCTAGTAGGAAGAAGTTATCCCAAAGGTTTCACTCAGAAGACAAAAAGTTTCCTTAAGATTCTAATAGAACTGAAAAATAAACATTTTCAACATTCTAAAAGAAATTTGTACTGAAATTACTTTGCCGAAACCCGGGATTGAACCACGGACCTTTAGATCTTCAGTCTATCACTCTCCCAACTGAGCTATTTCAGCCATATTGAAGTTGATTTTCTTGCCTCAAAATAGTTACATGTGGAAATGTCCAAACAGAAATAATTAACAAAACGATAAAGGTTCCCTATTTTCAAAAAACACTTTGGCCCATGTGGGGATCGAACCCACGACTTCAGCGTCATTAGCATCACACTCTAACCAGCTGAGCTAACAGGCCCCAAAGCCTAGTATTTAGGCTAATAAAAAAAAAATATTTTTTTTGTCATCCAATTTAACCCGAAGAATTTAAACATTTCCCTAATTTAAGGAAAAACAGCCGTAACGGCCAAGGAAATTTAAATCAAAGCGAGAAACTCTAGTAGGAAGAAGTTATCCCAAAGTTTTCACTCAGAAGACAAAAAATTTCCTTAAGATTCTAATAGAACTGAAAAATAAACATTTTCAACATTCTAAAAGAAATTGGTACTGAAATTACTTTGCCAAAACTCAGGATTGAACCAGGGACCTTTAGATCTGCAGTCTAACGCTCTCCCAACTGAGCTATTTCGGACATATTGAAGTTGATTTTCTTGCTTCAAAATAGTTACATGTGGAAATGTCCCAACAGAAATAATTAACAAAATGATAAAGGTTCCCTATTTTCAAAAAACACTTTGGCCCATGTGGGGATCGATCCCACGACCTTGGCGTTATTAGCACCACGCTCTAACCAGCTGAGGTAACAGGCCCCAATGTGTAGCATTTAGGCTAATAGAAATTTTTTTTTATGTCATCCAATTTAACCCGAAAAATTTAAACATTTCCCTAATTTAAGGAAAAACAGCCGAAACGGCTAAGGAAACTTAAATCAAAGCGAGAAACTCTAGTAGGAAGAAGTTATCCCAAAGTTTTCATACAGAAGACAAAAAGTTTCCTTAAGATTCTAATAGAACTGAAAAATAAACATTTTCAACATTCTAAAAGAAATTGGTACTGAAATTACTTTGCCGAAACCCAGGATTGAACCAGGGACCTTTAGATCTGCAGTCAAACACTCTCCCAACTGAGCAATTTTGGCCACATTGAAGTTGATTTTCTCGCCTCAAAATAGTTACATGTGGAAATGTCCCAACAGAAATAATTAACAAATGATAAAGGTTCCCTATTT